GCTTTTAATTTCACATCGCCTCGTCGCTCAATCATATGGTGGTGGCCATATACATTAGAGCACCAACAGCAGCAAGGCAGAGAATGTCCTTCATTAAAGCAGCATCATTGGACATATTGTGAGATATGAGTGCAGGGGTGTATGTGGGTGCCAGTGTTATGTTATCAACAAAGACAAGTAGGATAATGCGCATATCAGCTCAATTGAACACATAAATAGCAGAGTATGAATTAATGTTTGAATCCGAGTTCTTTAAGCACAGTATGTATCTTCTGGTTCCACATTTTGCCTCTCTGCTTTGTCCCATAGATAACCTTGTCCAGCTGGCAAACAAGATTGCAAGGGCCTTGATGGAATTCTTCTGGCTGGTGCATGTAGACTTTGACATCCATGACTCCATTAAGGAATGCATGGGAAATGTTAATTGAGCACAGATGGAGGTTATAGATAGCATCAATGGCAAGGATAATTCTGATAGAAGATATGCAGATAGTGGGTGCAAATATCTTAAGGAAATCAAAGCAAGGATGCTGGTTGTAGCCTTTGGCCACATATCTGCCTTGTAGCACTCAACAGAGTCATCTGAGTTGTGCTTCATCTTGACAACCCACTTGCCACCAATAGCCTTTCTCCAGGAGGTAGCTCCAGTAGTGACTAAGTACCATTGCGGTCATGAGCTTAAAGCTCTTCCATGGCTGCCTCTCTCCACTTATGAGCATCTGGGTGCCTCATAGTATCTGCAAATAACCTAGGTTCAGCAAAATGCGCCATTCAATCACCGGATGCCTCAGAATCACTAGTGTCACTGTTACAACCAAGAGTTTGTATACTCTGGTGCACAACTCAGACAAGCTTTGAGTGAAGTGAGTGGGAGTGTTTATCTTTTAAGATAGGATTGAGTTTGTTGTGGGTAAACAATAGGAGGACCCACTGAGGAGTCTCCTTGATCTATTGGGGTTATTTATACTACTACAAACTATTTGTATATGTGTACTATACAGTTGATGAAAGCAGTGGCTGATGATGTCATAGGGCACAGCCCGTATGACCAGCTCCACTGCGTGAGAGACTTGTAGCTAAGAATAAAGGAAAGCAGTGCAGCGTGAGAAAGTGGAGTTTAAACGAGATGGAAAGTGCCGCATGGCACTGTGACAACACCAACAAGACATCAATGGATGTTACTCACCGCTTGATGACCTCCTTGTCCAATTATTTGTGCTGTTCAAGGCCGTGATCCATTGCTACCTTGGTGATAGCCCCTATTTACCGCCCAGAAGAGAGTTCTCTTGGGGTGCACCTGGGTATGATGTGGAGGCTGTTGCCTCCTCTCATTCCCCTGGTGAGCTGATTGCCAGCCAGCTTTATTATGGGATGGAGCATTTGGGCTCACCAACTTTTTGTAGTGATCTACAAATTGTAGGGCACTCTCCATGTCTTATACAGCCTTGATGATTTCATTGAGGGTGGACATTTCTGCTGTTATCCTTTTGGATTTCAGCACATCCTTTATGGGGTCTAGGAGTAATCCCTTCAGGAATTGTAACCTGAATGTGTATTCATCTGGGTACTACACCATGCAATTTGCACAGTGCTGCAACTCATTAAAGAATGCCAATGCACCCTTATTACAGGAGTATCTCACTGCGTGGAAGGCGTCTGTTGCCTTCTGTGCAGTTGTCTCTGTGATGAAATGTTTATATAGTCCGCAGACAATGTCTGGGAATGTCCAGTGACATTGCCTGCATTCTGGGGATTTGACTTCTTTGTCAATCCAGAGGGCCGCTAGACTATCTGTGCATGTGCCCAGAAAGTCTATACATTCCCTGTCAGGGCCTATCACCTTGCAGACTCGCATCCAGCATAGTACTGCTCAGATCCAGGTGTCAAACACCTCAGTATTGTCTTGGCACATGTACTTGTCAAGGGCTGAGACCTTTATTCCCTTAACTCTACCAAGCTTATTCTGGATTGTCCAACCCCCTCTTCTATGAGTTGTTGGTACCTCTCCATAATGTGCCTTTTATAATCAGCCCGCCTGATTACTTGGGCATAGCCCGGATTGGTCGATGGTGTATCATTTCAATACGGCCCTCAACTCCCCTGTCTGTTACAATGATATGAGTCATTGTCATTGTTGGGTTCATCACCATCTCTTCCTGGAGGTGGCAATGGTCCTGGAGGAGGCGGGAAACATCCTTTGCTTCTATACCTTTGAGGATGATGGTCTCTATCTCTGGGATGGTACCCTCTGTTTTCTCACAGACCCCTGTTGGGGTCTTGCACTCAAGCATCCAGGAAATATGGTTGTCCATATTCCTCAAGATCTTGTTTGTGTATGCATTGTACAATCTTTTTGCTTGTACAAAACCTAGTGTTTCTTATTGGTGCACTAGGTGGATTGTTCAGTCTGCGTTGAGCAGATGCTCTTTGTCTGTATTAATCACTTCTTTCATCTACATAATGAGGAGCCATGATAGTGTCCCTAGATGCTTCCAGAATCTCATTGGATTCCCTATACTCGGGTTCCCTATATTCTTGTGCACATTGTCTCCTACTTGGGTGCGGTCATACAATCTGTCCAAGCCATCATCTGCTGATGATGTCTTGTATATTGGGTCCCATGACCTAGCCTCTCTTGCTCTATGCAAGAGAGCTATTTCTGTTTATGTGCCTTGCACTGTGGGGGTTTTCTTCCCCTACATAGCAAAGTCCTATTTTTGTTCAATTGAGAACTTCTGGGAAGTGTCTAGCCACTTGCTGAGAGCTAACAGGGACAGAACTAGAGTCCAGTATGAGTAACTATATTATCAGAGAGTACAGAATGTGTACAGTATGAGTAACTAAAGAATAGGAATACTGGACTCTGCAATACTAGTCCGAAGTTTTGTAAACAAAGGTAAACAAATCAGCCACAAAGGCGAAATTATAGAATACTTAGTGAATACTGAACAATAGAGAAAAAAGAATAAAGAGGAAAGTGATTTAGAAAGAAGGGAAAATAGATAGCACAACTAGGTGCAGAATCACCAAAACTAACACTATGTTGTTTATGGATTGCTCACAAGCGAGTAAGTGTGCAAGCAATCAATGGATTCAAACTGTCATCCACTGGGTCAGTCATGGTGGTAGAGAGGGAGCACATGTGCAACTGCAATATCCAGTTTCACTTTGAGCCCCAGTATCATATCGAGGCTCAGATTCACAGCACAACCTTCCAGCCACCACAGATTTTTTTGCTGCTTTCCCCATAATATCAAAAGTCATTGTAATGAGTAATTTGTGAATCATTCTCTAATTACTCTGCACCATATTCCAACCGATTTATGATTGATTGTTGATAATCAAGTGCTTGGGTGATTATCACCTCTTCTGGGGTCTATAGTATAAAATATCATATTTACACTGACTTTTTGTGCAATTTACACAGTAATCTTTGGGACTCACTCAAACCTTGAGTGAAATTTGTAACAATAAGTGTCTGTTTTTCAACAAATAAGTTATATATATACAGTGACTCCAAAAACCCTTTCCATGTTGACTCTAGGTGTTATGCATGAAGCATACCATCAAACAGCTTAAGAATTGCACTTAGCTTTGGTGGAGTGATAAATTTTACATACTATTGGCTATAAAATTTCCCCATAGGCCATGTGATTTGGTTCACATGCTATGGAGATATGGCTGATTTAAAACAGCAACACCATGGAAAGGGTGTTTTTTTCACTTTTGAATTGAAAAGAGTATTTGGATATATTAGTACTTGATATAGCATCATTTTGCCCTACACACTGCTTGAATCCTTCTAGGCATACTTTCAATCAATTTCTGACACTCCTCAACTGGTATCTTCTCCTACTCCACTTAAGTCCTTTCCCATAATTCATGAATCACATTAGGGGGGGTTCCATACTCTGCAAGTGTTACAATACACAATTTTTGGACCTTTAATTTTCATTCTCCTCTTTAACTTTCTTGTGTAGTTTTCACACACTGTGCTATGGGGCACTTTCCATTTTGTTCAAACTCCAGTTTCTCACACTGCACTGCTTTTCTTTATTCTTAGTTACAAAGTTTCTCACACAGTGGAGCTGGTTATGGGCTGTGCCCTATGACATTATCAGTCACTGCTCCCATCAACTGTATAGTACACATGTACAAACAATCTGTAGTAGTATATACCCCAATAGATCAAGGAGACTCCTCAGCAGGTCCTCCTGTTGTTTACACACAACAAAACTTGGTCCTATCCAAAGGGTAACCACTCCCCTCACTTCTTTACAGCGTCTGGGTTGTGCGCCAGAGTATACAAACTCTTGGTTGTAACAGCAAGCTTCCTCTTGAGATATTCATAGGATTTAGGTCGTGAAACTTGGAAAGATGACATTTAATAGCTTTAGGTAGGGTAGAATGTTCTTTGTAGCAAATTTGGATATAGTAGAAGGGCTAACACCAGTCTGTTTGGCAATGACTTTACTAGAGTAGCCAATATCAAGCAATAAAATGATGGAGCTTTTTTGAGTAAAAGGGGGGGATTTGACTGATGGTGGTTGAGAATCAGAAGTGTGTGAACTTTTTTAAGCTCAGACATACTATTTGTATATATATATTTTGTACCAACAAATAATGGCAAATATTCAATGTTTTAACTAAGGTTCTAGTCATCAGTTCAAATTTGAAAAAACCCTTTTCATGGTGTTGCTGTTTTAAATTAGCCATATCACCATAGTGTGTCAACCAAATCACATGGCCTATGGGGCAATTTTATAGCCAAGAGTATGTACAATTTACCACTCCACCAAAGCTGAGTGCAATTCTCAAGCTGTTTAATAGTATGCTTTATGCATAACACCCAGAGTCAACATGGAAAGGGTTTTTGGAGTCACTGTATATTCCTTTTAAAAGAGTCAAATGTTCAATAAAATATACTACTTTGAATACTATTTTGGGCCCAAGCAAAATTTTAAATTTCAGACGACCAAAATGTTAATGTAAAACTATATATTTTATGTGCAGTTTTTGATAACATTTTAGGACATCATAATACAGAATTTTTGCACAGCAGTAAGGCACAATCATAACAAGAAAATGTAGTCTCTGAGACTTAGTGCCAAGTGTGGTGCCTGCCTCTATATCTTGAGCCACATGTCCCAGTTGCAACAGTAGTTTGATCCTTAGTCTTATCTTTCGCCCACCTTCCACTCCCTCTAATCTATTTCTCCTTCCCTTTCTATTAAATCCCCAAACTCCTCTCTCCCACTCTAACAAACATGCTTCTTGTCTTCTCTGACTACTCTTACATACCACAATGCCACCTTCCCTGTTAAAAGTCTGTCCCTACCTGCCCCATTTCCCCTGGTCTCTTCTCCCCAAGGCCTACCCAAAAACGCCCTCCAAATTGCACAACTTGACCCCCATCATCATTGTCTCTAAGTTCCTAGCTTGCTCTCCTGACAGCCCCTTCCCTCAAGCTTAGATATTCCAAAAATGTCTGACCCTGGATACTCCAATCTTCATGGGAGATTCTATATCTCTCCGCAAATTATTCCCCTCAAAAACAGGCCCTCTGGGTTTCCCTTCACGTCACAAGACTGGGGGACGCACGCAATCGTCCAGTTTAGTAAGACTCGTTTATTGGGAGGTCCAGGTGGCAACATCACTACCAGTGACGGTTGAGTCACAACCGTTACAGTGGAATCTTAGGTCAATCCGATTTGGTCTTTTCTTTGTTTCCCCAAGGCCTTATTCAAAACAATAGGCGTCAAAAGCTGAGACCTATAGGCCACCGTAACCGTGGCTGTTATACAATAAGCTTCACATATCATTTCAGGTGACCCATTTTATTTCCTTGATACCAAAGAGGCAAGCTGTTTTTTATCCCACTTTTGTTGATTAATACCATACTGCTGTCGCTCACAATATGCCATTCAGTATCGTGAACATCCACTGTGTGGATTCCAGATCAACGACCACTTTATCATCCACTCTGTCTTCACGCAGCGCCCTGTCTTCTTTGAATGCTCGGGAAGATGTTAATGCCATGGAGGATTCTTCCTCGTCGATTCTTTCTCGGGAACCTTTAATCAACATCGTTTTCGATGATATGGATGTCGACAGTCGAAGTGAACTACCTTTGGAACCACCACTCCCAAAGCGAACATTGAGGCAGCAATTAAAGCCCACATCCAGATCAGAGGTCAGATTCAAGCCAAGCACTGTTTCTACTATCACTCGCAACACTGAAAGAGCGTTGAGGAAGAGACCTTCCAAAAAAGTACCTTCCCATGATGCAGCCAACATATATTCCAAACGCGAGGCAAGGGTTAAAGAACTCAAAAGCAGAGCGCTTGACATTCCTTCCACTGGCAAAGCACCAGCAAACACACGCCAGCGTCTCGTTATGCAGATGGTGTATGATGAAATCACTCCTTATCCTGACGACGCATGGTTAGCTCAAATGGGCGTTATCATTGACCGGTGAGATAATTTCTCTTGTCATTTTATTTTTACAAAGTATTTTTTTTACGTTACTCAAATGTTCCGTAGAGAATACCATCAAGTGAAGAATTGGTTCTCAAACCAGAGGCAGAAAGATGCTCGAGAATCACGACACAGCACGCCAACTATCTCGGCTGTAAATGCGGAGTCATCGCTTCGCAAAATTCTTTGCGAGGGACGCGAGATCCGTCTGCGCTTATCAGCGCTGGACAATTGCCGTGTGAATGACTGGTCTGACTCTTTCTTCGAGGAAGTCGTGATGATCTATCACTTCAGGCTTCTGGCTAAACACAGTCAGGACGAAGCTAAAGCAGCTGGTAGTTCATCTGGCAGTGACGGTGTTCATAGCCCCTGATATATCCAGATCATCGGTCATGTATACATTCAACTTTACTGTAGCCTTATATGCTGTTCTGTTAAATCCTTCTATTGTCGCTTTGTTACTTTGCAATTCTAATCCCATGTACAGTATCACGGTTGTGAGTCGCGTGCCTAATGGCCCATGGCAATCCTTCGACGTCCCACATCTAACCATCTCATGAAGAATTCGTTTTCATTAATTAGCTTTCTTTACTTCACCAGCCCGCAGTACTTGATACTTTCCCCCTCTCCATACTACCTCGTTGCCACATATAGCCAACGCCCATATAGGAAAAGCCAATAATTCACGGAGTGCCCACGCACCAATAAAAGACAAGCGCTTATCTGCCACAACGGGATGTCCAGCGAGCGAAGCATAAACATCCATATCCACTGACAGCCAGATAATATGGTGCGTTGGCAGAAACAGCCACGCCGGAACACCAGTCAAATACCACAGACTCCAAGCCGCGATTGAACTAGCAACGAAATTTTCCGTGAGTGGCTCTAAGATGGTTGCTGCTAAAACCATATGCTTGCGCACACGAATCCAGCGTACCCGCCGCCAAATATAATCGGAGAGTGTCATCTTTCCAACAGCATTATGCGCAACGTCACATGAGAGGTCATGCCTCAACCCCAATTCATGCCAAAGAGAGCTCGCGATCATGTTATCTTCAGCCAGAAAACGACCGAAGGCTGCCAGACCAAAATCTGCAGTCTGTGATGCACCATCCGGTGTAGACTTTGGTTTGAGCAAACCGTTGACCCTGTCAATGTCTGAGCGACGATAAAGATTTGACTTGCCAACTACGCAAGACTCGATGGCTACAGTGTTAATAGCCAGATACATCTTTGCGTGGTTGGTATTGAGGAAAGCCTCTTCCACTCGTGCTCCCAGCCATGCTTCATTTGCATTCGCTAGCGGTACATGGTGCACCAAAGCAACGCGTTTGCGGTGAGAAGATTGCGAGTTGGGTGGTGGTCCAACTAATACATCGACAGATCGCGCTAGCGTGCCTGAATCCACGGCGACATTGGAATCAATGACCCACAGGATATCATTGGCAGCCTGACGGTACGACCGAATCAGATTGTTAACTTTAGGGTTAACTCCTACCACGTCTTCTCCTGGAGACCACAGCATTAACATTTCCCCAATTCGAGACACCAATACGGCTAAACGTACCAATCACAACCTTAACATCGACATCTGGGTATTTTTCTGTCAGTTCCCGGACTACAGAAAGTGCTTGGTCGTGTTCATACGCTACAGACAGCAAGATCTCGAAATTGGGATATTCTTGTACGAAAGTTGATTCAAGATTTTCATACAGATTGGTATCTAAGCCTTTGAGAGGTCTTAAGATGGAAACACCTGGCGCGGATGAGGCAGGGACGGGTGCCAAGGGAGACCATGGCCGAAGATACCTTCTGCGACTTTTACCAGGTCAGAACGAATGTAAATCGATCGCAACAAAACTCACGCAGTCCTGCATCCTAGAATACCTATTGACCACAAGACAACGTACCATATTAAACCAATGACAGATAGTGCAAAGAGAATAACGTCCCCTTTTGATGTGGTCACTGTCATCGCCAGACTCAATACCAGTCGACATATACTAGTATGCTCAAGGGGTACGCAAGTAGGAATTTACCAGGCCTCTATGCCACCCCTCCCCCGTGGGAACAATAATATTTCCTAATATAGTAATATCTACATAGCCACTGGGCTGGATAGCACCTGTTGCGCAACTAGAGAGCCTAACTATAGTGTACCATCACGTGTCTCGTACACTATAGTTAAGCTCTCTTGTGGCTATTTCCGACACCAGCGTCAAATGTCGCCCCAAATATGCCACTTGACTAAGGCTGTCCACGATTTCATCCAGGTCGGCATTGTCGGCATGCATGCTCCGAACTTATTGTCCGACCCCGACCTTCGCATACAGTATAGCCCTGCTCTACTTTACTCAGAGCACTACTTCTAATGAATAGCAAACCCCAATTATCATTTAGTGCACAGTATATACAACATGAGTTAGTCGTACTATGGACAAAGCCACTCTGTTGAAGAGTATGCACCAAGGTATGTGTTGTTAATCTATTCACTAGTGAAATCCATCATAAACTGATTATAATCATCTGTAAGCATAGTAGTGTTGTCTAACGGTAGCCGAGCAAACAAGTCATTGGGAGGGGGTCCGTAAGTATTTTCAAGTATTCTCAATATTTCATCTAGGTTGGCCTGTGTCTCTGGGTCAGATAGCGAAGGGACTTGTGTTGTGAATGATCCATTAGTCCACAACTCAAAAGGATCATAAGTATTCCGACATCAATTCCAGGGAATGACCCAGAGAAAGGCGGAAAACTGTGACAAAACCGGATAAACCCGGTCTCTGCCAAAGCAGCCATTGTTCTCCATGGAGCATAGCCACCACTCCATGGAGTAACCATTGTTCTCCTAGGAGCACAATTGTACTCCTAGGAGTCATTATACTGTAGCAAGTAGCACCTCCGACTATAAGTAGTAGGGGGTTTAGTATAGGAATACCTCAGTCGTTTCTATAGCCTCTCGGGCAGCGGCTGAGGTATGTTACATTACATTTATTAGAGATCACCTTAAACTAACATCTATTGTAGTTTCACTTAGTTTTATTAGGTTATGAGCCCTGGTGCGCAAAAGCTACGCAGGAAATAATTCTTATTTGAAACGGCAACCTTGGAACCATGACCACAGCACGCGATACATCTGCATGTCCAGTTCTCACTGGACCCAACAATTTTCAGATATGAAAACTCCGGATCATCTCAAAGCTACGTCGGGAAAAAGTTCTCCGGGTTGTTACTGGAGAGGAGCTTAAGCCCTCACCAGGAAAACCTACCTCCTCGGAGGATCCTGAGATCACCTGGATACTTAAGGATGAGAAGGCACATGGAATCATCCAGGACCACATCTCTGATGCCCTCCTAATGAGGACTGGAGACCTCACCAGCTCCAAGGAGTTATTTGATAAACTTGTCTCACTCCATCAAACGTCCAACATTGCCTCGGCCTTCTATTCATTCCAGCAACTCACCAAATTGTCCTGGGATGGGACATCACCTATCCAGGACCACATTGCAAAAATCCGGACAATTGATTCACACCTCTCCAGAATGAAACTAAGAGTTGATACCAAACTCATGGCTTTTGCTCTTCTCTAATCTCTCCCATGCACTCCTGAATGGCAAATATCTCAGTTATCAGTAATCAACATGATTGAAGAAAATAAACTTACATTTGATGCAGTTGAGATCTGCATCACTGCAGAAGTTGCACGACAGTCAGGGAAGGCCCCTGGAGGTTCCGAATCAGCACTCAAATCCGAGGAGAAATGGTGTAACTTCCACAAAGCCAAATCACACAACACCTCGGAGTGTCGAACACTTCAGTCAGCTGAAAAAGGTCAAAGGAAGAAGGGAAAGGAAAATACAGCGGAGCAATCATCCGGATCTGACTCAGAGGAGGAACAGAGTCATATTGCATTGGAACATGTACATATTTCTAAGCCCCTTGCTAAACGCATTCAAGCTTACCTTGCGTCGGAACCCAATAAGACCAAAACAACAATTATTATTGACTCCGGAGCAACATCCCACATGGTCTCTCACCGCTCCTGGTTTGAGCCAGGAACATACCATGTTCTGCATCCTCCGAGGACAATCAGTTTTGGGGATGAATCCTCTGTAAATGCCATTGGCATTGGAACAGTAATCCTACAAGCAATTGTTGGCAAAAGGACTACAATATGGCACTGTCAAATGTCTTACTTGTGCCAAACTTCACTTTAGCACTCGTCTCTGTCCACAAATTGTCCAAAATGGGGTTATCAACACTTTTTCCAGCAGGGTCAAACACTTGTGAAGTTTGGAAAAAGGAGGAACTTATCCTCACTGCCTTACACAAGTAAGGACTTTATCACATCCAAGCAAAACCCGAAATCAACCCGGAGTCAGCTTTTGCAGCAGTAGATGTAAATTTATTGCACAGGAGAATGGGACACGTTGGAATGGACCGCTTGCAACAAATGGTTACAAAAGGACAGCTCCAGGACATAGACACCCTTACTGGAACCCTGGAGTTTTGTGAACCTTGTGCTTTAGGAAAGATGAAGAAATTACCTTTCAAGTCCACTGGAGGAAACCGAGCCAAGCGCCCCATACAAATTGTGCACACAGATGTTGGAGGACCAATCAAACCAACTTCCAGGGAGGGTTTTCGGTACTGGATTATCATTGTAGATGATTTCTCCAAATTTCCATGGATATATTTCCTAAAACATAAAAGTGAAGCACTGAAATGATACAAGCAATGGAAAGAAGATGTCCAAACATTCTTCCGGACTCATTTGGGAGAAGAAAACTTCACTCCACTATACACAGAATTCCTCCGGAGCAATGGGGGAGGAGAATATACTGGCAATGCATTCAAAAATCAACTCTGAGGAGATGGTGTCATCCAAGAAACTACAGCTGCAGATACTCCGGAACAAAATGGCATTGCAGAACGCATGAATCAGACATTGGCTACATTAGCAACCACTATGCTCCATGATTCCAAGCTCCCAAAGTCATTTTGGGTAGGTGCCATGCAAACAGCTGCATATATCGCAGCACGCAGCCCAGCATTAGCACTCCATGGAAAGACCCCATATGAAATACTGTTTAAAAGGAGAGTTAATCCAACTTTGTTTCGCCCTTTTGGATGCCAAGCATATGCCTTGATTCCGAAAGACAAAAGGCAAGGGAAGTTTTACTCCAAGGGGCGCAAAGCCATAATGATTGGCTACACACATAGAAAGCAAGCCTACAAACTCCTAGACACTGAAAAACGGACTGTGTTTTCCAGTTGGCATGTCATATTCAATGAATCTGGAAAGGTACAAAAGGATGACACTGCTCCCTGGAACACAGACACTAGCACAGATCAGTGGGAGGGACTCATTCCAGAGAATGCTCACTATCCAGACCAAAAAACATTGGAAGAGGATGATCCTGACCCTCGGATCCGAGATCCAAATGAATTGCAAATGGAACCACATCTCCAAGGAGATGTTCCACAAGCAATGGAACCATATCAGCATGAAGATGTTCCGAGAGCAGTGGGGCAATACCTCCGTGGAGACGTTCCGAGAGCAGTGGGAGCACCTGATCAGCTAAGACACCCTCCACAACAGTCTCTACAACCAAGACCTGAACACTGGCCATCTTCAGAACGGAAAGCCAAAGTAGAGTTACAGTCAGTGGGAGGACAGCCCCTCAACATACAGCCAGCTAATGTGGAAAAAGTCCGAATACAGCTAGACAGCCTGTCCATTGGATCAGCTTCTGGAAGGCATCCAACACCTCCAAGGAGTCATCCAATGCCTCCGAGGAGTGATTTAACACCTTCAGAAGTGAGTGGGGCAACAAATACACAAATGCGTCTACTCCCTGGAGTACCTGCACAAGTTCCTAAAAGAGCAGTCATGCCTCCTGCAGACAAAAACCGAGATTATCAAAGGACTCTAGATGAGGAACAGTCTCAAAAAGAGCAGCATGACAGCTCCATGGAGAAACCTAACACTCCTGACGTTCATGAAGAAACATCTGATACAGAGGAGACATTCTTTGCTGGAATAGCAAGTACTGGTCCATCTAACATAGACCTTCCAAGGACACTAAAGGAAGCCTTATCATGTCCGGATGGAGAATTATGGAAGTCTGCCTTGGAGGAGGAACTCCTAAGTCTCAATACTAATGCAGTATATGACACTGTTCCACTTCCGAAGGGAGTAAAACCCATCACATCAAAACCTGTGTTCTGGATCAAGTTTGATCAAAACGGAAACATTGAGAGATACAAACTCCGGATTGTTGCACGAGGTTTTACTCAAAGGGAGGGGATTAATTACCAGGAGGTTTTTGCTCCGGTTGCAAACTTAGAGTCGATCCGAATTATTCTAGCCCTGGCAGCAAAGTACGACCTAGAACCTGATCAAATGGACGTATCCACAGCTTATCTCAATGGAGAACTTGAAGAAGAACTGTACATGCTTCCTCCAGGGGGTGTTCCTATCCAACCTATATACTGCTGGAGATTGAAGAAATCCATCTACGGGTTAAAACAAGCTGGTCATACATGGAACAAAACTTTTGATCGCAAGCTCCAGGAGCTCGGTTTCACAAGACTAAATGCAGAAACATGTCTCTATGTATTCCGGGACAACAAACAAATATGCTTTGTTGTTGTCTATGTAGATGACCTCTTCCTAGGAGCTTCATCCCGGAAATTCATGGATATCACAAAAGCCAAACTCGAATCCATATTCAAAATGCGGGACCTTGGAGAAGCAAAATACATCCTCGGAATAGAAATCCAACGTGATCATTCAAACAAAACAATATCCCTATTGCAACGCCAATACATTGACACAGTCCTGGAGCGTACTGGAATGAAAAACTGCAAACCAGTATGGACACCAATGGCCCATGGATCAAAACGCCTTGTAAATGCTCCAGGGGAAGATATTGTGCAACACAAGATGCATATTGAAGGGCGTCAAGTGTCATACCTCTCAATTGTAGGCTCCCTCATGTATGCCATGCTCA